CCCAAAACATTGAATAAAAATATGTTCCGGATCGTGGATGCATTTTATGTGACCCAATCCAAATACATGTTTTTTAAACGATGTTCACATTCTTTAAAAAATATAATAATGAAAGCGGTAAAAAATAAAAAAAACTTGCACATGAGTCCATATTTGTATAAAATCAGATAATCAAGCCAAATATAACAGTTGAGCGACCGTGCTAGAACCACGGAACTCGGGAATGCCTAACACCTTCTCCCGGGTTAACAGAATTCCTTATCCGGATTTCTGGTTCGCGGACTGTAATACAGAGTCATGCTTTTCCTCGGTTCGGGATTAAAATTGGTGACTTGGGACACCCTAAATCTCCCAAGTGGCGACTCTGAAATAAAGAAATAAATCCCGTTTCGACTGTCCTTTAATTGGAAAAACTCCCACGCACCCTCACGGACGCGGAAAAAGGAGGTGTGACAATAGCAAACAAGCGTCTCAAGCTACATGACATTTGATAACTCTCAGCTTCTAGCATACATTCAGCTAAGTTATTGTCACAATGAAGTAGTCCTCTTTTTTGAGTTGATTCTCTGAATATATCACAACGTACTTCATTTATAGTTAGTAGGTCTTCATATGATTTTGGTCCTCTTATATTCATTAATAATAATCTCAGATAATATCTTTCACCTTCTATTGGATGACATGTTACAACACGTCCAATGACATTACCCTTTGTCCGACGGGTCCACATTTTATATTGTACTGACCATACAAAATATTATGAAAATTCTTTATACAGTAGATTGAGCTTTATTGCATCTTTATTTGTTTTGTTCATAGCGAAAAATTCTGTTAACATTGTTTTTCTAATCATAAGATTATTCATAATTGAGTTTATACTCGATGCACTCTTAAAAGAAATAAATTGTTGTCCTTCAAGATGTAACTGAAGATGATAAACAGCTGGTGTCATTTCATTAATAGGGAAACCAAATAAACTCCATGTAGCCTCAGGTGGTGATACCCATCGAGCAGACTGGTATTCTTTTATTTCATCTACTTCAACATTTGCGTCATTGTCATGTATGTGAAATGCGATTTTATCATGTCCTTTACAAATGTATTTATAAATATATTTAACAGCTTTAATATCTGAACAAATTTCAACATTTATGTGGCAATTGAATTTTCCAAGTAAGAATGGATTATAAGGGACAACCCATGAGTTATTGAAATAGTGATCTTTGACTTTCACAAGTCCTGTATTCCGTCTTCTATAAATTGGGTAAGAATTTTTCCCTTTTGATGTTTGATCAACAAAGCTTCTTGGATATTTGAATTTTCAACCACCTTTTTTCTTTTGCATACATGAATTTGTAAGATTTAACTTACCACAAGGTCCATGCATCATATGTTGAAGAACAAGTTTATATAAGGTTTCTTCAGCTTTACAATCAGGTAATTCAGCATGAACAATATTGTCATAAGATTCTGGAGTGAGTAGTTTGTATTCATTAGTAAGTATAATAAGGAAATGAGCATGTGGTAAACCACGTTTTTGAAATTCTATACTATACATAAAAGCTGCAACTTTTCCAAAGATATTTCTTTTTAATATATCTGTTTTTAGTTCTTCTATCTTTGCCCTAAAAACTCGACTAATTAAATCAGGTCTGTTTTGTGCTTCGTCAGTTGGTAGCAAGTGCTCTTTTATCTCGGGCCAAGATGGGTTACAAGTCATCGTTATGAATAGATCAAGTTTTCCAAATTGTCGTACCAAAGAAATAGCATCCATGTAGCATCGACGCATGTCTCTTGGTTCGCCTATAAAAGTAACAGGAAGGAATGTTTGTTTTCCTATATTTGAAGCGTCTCTTTCTCCAAGTCTTAAAATATCAATGAGTCCTTGTAGCATTTCTATCCTAAAGAGATCTGGGTTAAATGAAAAAAAATCTAATCTCTGTGTTTCAAGTTTTATGTGTTCATCTACTGAATATTGTTGAAATAATCTTCCAGAATGCAAAGTTTCATTTATTTCATCTTCTCTCATTTGGAATTTATAACAGTAATATTCACGAACAAAGATATTATTTTTTTTGTTTTCCTTTTTCAAGATTTTGAGCTTCCATGTCAAGATATCCATCAACAGAACACATATTTCTAATACTTGGTAATTCTTCGTGTTCACAATAAGCTCGACGTTTAGAAGTATCTTTTGGTTGTATAATTTTTTTAATGCCACAGTGCCATCCACTTTGACCATATGGAAACAATAGTGGATATTATAGCGGATCATAACATCCGTAATAGTAATTCACTATTTGAGATCTGTTGCTATGAGTGTAGATTCGAATATGAGGTGCAGAACTAACTTCGGTGATTTCTTTTTCAACCCATATCCCTGCAACTTCTGATGTAGTAGGAAGATTGTATACATGTTAATCCAAACTNCCATATCCCTGCAACTTCTGATGTAGTAGGAAGATTGTATACACGTTGATCCAAACCTGAGTCAGATTTAAGTGCAATATTGTAGTTCGATAGATTTGGAACATCTATTAGGGATTTTAAGAAAATAGAGTATGGATTAATTCTCAGTATGTTCATTAGCTTTTTGACTATTGATTCATGAATTTTCTCAGAGCAAGCCATTCTGTTAGCTAATTCGTTATCGTTGTCATAGAAGTATAGTTGTAGATTTTTTGCTATTCCATTCGGAGGCAGCAAATCATTTATAAAATGGTACATCTTTCCCTGAACTCTAAATGTATAAATACCACGATTTCTTTTTGCTAATTCTTTATCATATTTACACCAAGTGATGTAAATGCAAACATATTATTGTATGTTCTGATATATGTTCGAAAATGTTTACATTCTTCAGTAGTCCCTAAATATAGATTTTGTAGTTCAGCAGGCATCTCATGTGAAACTAACTTTATCAAACCATTGTTACAGCAGAATCCAGGTGGTTCATATTCAAATTTTTTTGCACCACAAAATTTACAGTTAGGAACAGTCTTCAAGGGAACATAATCAGATTATAACTGACCTACGTATGTATAACTCTTTTTTCTTTGAGTTATAACCTGTATATTTAAGTATTATTAGCATAAAATTACCAATTAAGTAATATACAACAGTATCATAATAAAAGTTTGGTGCAAACCTTTTTTCCCAACCATTGTTGAGCTCATATTACTATTTTCATTAGATGCATGTGACGTTGACCCTAACGCCAAAAAGTAATAAATTATGAATAAATAAAGACATTATGTAAAAGTCAACATTGCATCCTTGATACTTACCTACTTCAAATGAGTAGAAGGGATAATTTATAATCTTTCGCTTGTCAAATGTAACTTCCAAAGCATCAACGTGACGCTCGTTGGCTAATAGGGGAAACACAACACATATTTATCGTCATTCAATTATACTCACATGCAAAAAGCGTGAAGGGACATTTCTAAAAAAATAAAATAACAAAGGATGTATTCTAACCTGTTTTTGAAACAGAAGAAGAGCTCCTAAGAGGAATATTTTGTTGTTGAAACTCAGTTGCAGCTGGAGTAGCGTCAGGAAAAGCAACATTCTCAGAAAGACTACTCCTTTTTAACTCTCGTCTTTTTGTTCGTCGTTGTAGTAACAATGCTTCTTTTTTTTCCGCAGATATTACTTTGTACGTTTCATGTCGCCTAAGTTTCATCTCAGCTTCTAATTTTGCGAAGCAAACATATTTGTTTTTTTGTTTAGAACCCATTATTCCTACAAAACTGCAATTATAGAAATTAAAACACACGAAGTAAATAGAAATAGTTTGCTGGCAGAGGTAACATCTGAAGCGAATAGCATCAGATTAATAAAAAGTATTACTGAGACTCAAATATATGTGACTTTTATTTTCTGACCACTACATACAAGAAAAATTGTAACAACATCTAATGATTGTTTAATTGAACATGTAGATACTCCTCAATCACGAGAACTACAATAGCTATAAATGGAGCAACTTATACAACTCAACTGAAAGAGTATATTCACTATGTTTCTTTACGAGGAAAATGATATTAATCAATTCTTGTACAAAGTATTCACTATGTTTCTTTAAGAGGGAAATGATATTAATCAATTCATCTACAAAGTGAATCTTCGGTCTCACTTTTACTGGTAATAAGATTGTTGTCACCAACTATACAATATTTAACTTTTTTTTGTTGTTGTTAATTACAATATTAACTCAGTCAAACTTATTTTTGACTTATGCCTGATATCTTGGAAATATACTTGTCAAGAGAAGCTGAATCAAGAACTTCCAAGTCAATTTTCTGTCCTACTTTTGCGACAGAAAATTACTACTGTGTACTCTTAGTTGTCCTAAACAGTGTTCACTTTCTTTTAAGAAGAAGTTCTCCTACTCAAGAAAATTAAAGTACAAAGTAGTTGCATGGGGACCATTTGCTCTATGCAGTACAAGACATTTTCAGAAATCAAAACCAAACGAAGTTATTTGGTTTCAAAATCAATTTTTGGGTTTTGGAAACACAAAGATACGAAAATAAATTTGTTCTTCTCTGAACCAAAACCAAGAAATAACCCTTTTCTTGATCAATTTAGCATAAACCTCAGCCATTGCCCTTTGATATATCTCAGGCACTAAAGAAGTACATGAAAGCTCTAACTCAAAATGCAACCAAATAATGAAACCAAAGAAAACTACAGACAGGAACATGTATAACAAATCTAGTAGAAATCCTGAGGGAAGAATTTTGTCAAACACCTTGAGAACAAAATTTATTCGCTATTCAGGGGAAAATACAAATACCTGCAATATTATCAAGGATTGAAACAAAATCAATACAAAAAACACAAGATGAGAAGAAGATTACCCAATAGAAAATCTGTTCCTATACTATAAATGGGGATAACGCGGGTATAATAAGCTTATCCTTTCGATACTCCGTTATGGATAAACATTACCCCTGATAGAAGATTATCCATATCGGGCATAATAAGCTTATCCTTTTGATACTCCGTTATGGATAAATATTATCCCCGGTAGAAGATTATCCATACCGGCTACAATGAGCTTATTCTTTCAGTACTCCGTTATGGATAAATATTACCCCAGTAGAAGATTATCTATACCTGGTACAATGAGCCTATCCTTTCAGTACTCTGTTATGGATAAACATTACTCTCAATAGAAGATTATCCATACCGGCTACAATGAGCTTATTCTTTCAGTACTCCGTTATGGATAAATATTACCCCAGTAGAAGATTATCTATACCTGGTACAATGAGCCTATCCTTTCAGTACTCTGTTATGGATAAACATTACTCTCAATAGAAGATTATCCATATATGATATAGTAGCAGCTTACATAGCAGCTTGCAGTAGCAGGTTACACAAAGATCAAAGGGAAGGAGCAAGAGAGCACAAATATGAAGTAAAGAGGCGTTTGAAGAAGAGGGCTTAGCAGATAAACTTGGAAAGTGTCGGATATAATAAGAGAAATCAAACGGTGAATTGATAGCTATTAAAATTGGGCTACACGTGTTGGGCTGCAAATACAGCCATGAAATAATTTTGGGCCAGGCAGACATGTTGACCACGAGCTGCCTGGTTATCCCCATTTATAGTATAAGAATAGATATATCATTATTTGCTCTTGTTTCCCTTTAGATTACATAATTACAATAAGCAATGTAAACCACTAATTAGGGTTATTCCATAAAAAACTTGAATATGTAGTAAGAAAATAAATACATCAAACAATATATTAATCTCAAAATTTATACCGAGATAATCCCTTAAAACAAACGGCAATATTTTTAAAATTAGGAGAAATCCTTTCTTTGAATTGATTCTGGAATAAAAAAGTCATCGTGATCATTCTTCAGTAAAGCTTTAATCTGTCTTGGCAGAGTGAAATAACTTGAATATGATTGTTGTTGAAGTGTAATTTAGACAGCTTAATACAAATACTATTAGTGTTTTTTTTTTTTATAAAAAATCATTTTTTAAGTTATCCATATTGATGAGGCAGTTTATGATATATTTGCGTTTATCTAAAATTCAAGCATTTAATTATTTAATATACTTTGGTAAGTAGCTATTTAATTAAAGTGAATGTACTATGCCTAACACTAATACTTAATTACTGTTTCCTATAGTTGTGTCTACAAGCTATGTATTTAATTTATACGCTTATTAAAGGAGGTTGTACGCAGATCAAGCTATAGTGTACAATTAATGTATATAATTATAGTATAATTTTTTTTTTTGGTTTCTCACCGGTATTCGCCTTCGGTACTGCCATTAGGACTCAACGAAATTAGGGTTTGTATCGAAAATTCCTATATTGGAGTAAAACGCTCTCTAACAAAGGTGACTTTATATTTATGGCTCGAATCCGATATCACTGGATGGTGGAGAACTTACAACTCCACTACAACCCTTGTTGGTATGTACATACAGAGGCGGACCCAGGATTTTAGCACAGTGGGGGCACCATTATATACTAATTACTAGCAATAAAATTTGATGTACAACTCTTTGAAATCTTAACAAGTATTATGACTAATCATCCAATTATAAACAAAAAGAAGTTCTAAAGAAAAAGAAAGTAACGAAAGAGAGAGATTCTTTTCGCAAAATGGGTGCTACGGGAAGGAAAAGTATTTGATTTAAATCTGTTTCAAACTTTAAATTTTTGATTTTTTTTTCTCAAATAAAAAAGGGTCAATGATCAAAAAGGTGTTCAAACTTCAAAATCAACAAAAACTTACGAAAGAAATCAAGATTAAGGGTATATTAATAGACAAAGAACTAAAAAAGAGTCTCAACTCTTAGTTTCCATTGCCGAGTCGGAGTTTTTGGATATCCGCTACATTGTCAAAGTGATTATTAAAAAAGGTTGTGACAGAATGATCTATATTTTTCTATTTGTAGAGCAATAAGTTGAACTTTGAATCTTTTAATTTTAAGGGAGGAATTTAAAAAAGAATAAAATTAATTAACTTGACTATTATGCATGAATACTAAACTACATTTGAATTCAATAAAATATAAAAGTAATAATTAAAGCCACAACCTTCTTCGGGAGAAAAAAGAAGGTGTGGCAAAATAATTTGTATTTTTTTATTTATGGAGCAATAAGTTGCAATTTGAAGATTTTTAATTTTAAGGGACTAATTTGAAGAGAATAAAATTAATTAAGTAATACTAAATTATAATTGGCTTCAACAAAATATAAAAATAATAAATAAAGTTCTCTAATATGCTAAGAATTAGTGTACACAATAGGAATAGGAAGGTGATTTAAACCTGTTTGACCACGTCCTTCAGCAAAAGGAGGAAACCATAGCGTGCCCCCATAACCATTCCTTCTGTCTGTCTTTTTGTGCATGGAGCACAAAGAAAATATTTAAGGGGTCCCAACCGTATGAACAAACACATGTAAAATACATATACAAAATTTTTGTCGGGGTAACGGGGTCCCGTGACCCCTCAACCTGCAACGTAGGTCCGCCTCGGTGTACATATAAGTTGGATATTAATGAGAGGGGCTATTGTTACTGCTACTCTATTGTTATATGAGTTAAAAAATATTTTTACGATGATAAGATGTGGTTCATATTGTAAATTTGTGTGGCTTTGTATGACTATAATTTCAAGATTTGAACCTTGAGTGAAATTTATAGATTTAAGAATTTTCCAGTTAGTTATGTACTTATGTTGTTGTTTAACCACATTATAAAATCTTTCAAACTTAAAACACCTTCATTAAAAGGGCAACTCGATACATTAATCTCTTGTTTATTATATGCGGGGTTGAGAGAAATGTCAAATCATATTATATTTATTATCAACTTTCTTACCTTGCATTTTGCAAAAAATTATTTTCATGACTTGGCGACCTCCTAATCACACGACAACAACTCTTAACATTTTAGCTTGGTTTCATTATGATTTTTTTCCATAGTATTTTCATAATAATTTTAGGCATATACGAGAACAAGGTCTAAGTCTTGGTTTCCATTCTTATTGCGTTGCATGATACAGTTACATTTTATTACTCTAAAGATCTCATTTCACTCTCTAATAATTTTTATAATATTCCTCACATTTCGGAGTAGGAAAATGAGGGGTGGATTAATTCACTTTCTTAAAAAAAAAACTAATCTCTTTTGAAAAATAAATAAATTGTGGAGCTTAGAATTTAGAAAATTTTCTAACGAGGAAGTTAGAAGATCCTATTGATGTGTGTTGGTTACATAGTTCAAGTTCTCCTTTTATTAGGCCCTCTTCATGATTCTTAGCGAATTCAACCGGCTATTTGTATAAAGATTCCTTTTGGGATCTTTGCATAAATAGCCGATAATTCACTATTTACTTTTCTCATAAATAATACATATATTATACATCTGTCAACTACTATAATTTAAGCGATTGAGCGAGCAGCGATTTATGTTAATTCTTCATTCTTTCGCAAGTTTTCCAATTATCCACGTCGAGTTACTTTATTTTGGAAAAATGACACTGTATAACCGTTATCAAAATAATAGCCAAAAAAAAATATATTATTTGTATATATATACACACATACATTACGCATGTTATATATAAAAAATATATAAATTTAATATACTTTTTTGGCTATCAAATGTAAATAGTTTCTAGCGCGGGCTATAAATGATAATACCCCCTTTATTTTGGCTACAATTTTTCTGAAATAAAAGCCCAATACAAGGAAGTCCAAAGGTCCGTCGGCCAGTTCTGAGCAATGGGCTAACGTACTGGTGAGTCCTTAGGGGCGATTTGCAGCCATACCCTATATTTATGTCACCTTTTAACCTGTACCATATTTTTAAAAACTATTGATTTCGTAGCCAACTAACAAAAAAACCGTAATAATATGACCATTATACCCCTTCCAAAACAAAAAACCTTTTTTTAATATGATGTGGATAGCCAGATATATTCCATGGAAACAAAAGTTCTATCTAGCGGAATCCGCCACTCTACTATCCCTCAAAGTTATATCCGTCCTCAATCCAATAGGCCACTCCTTTATGAAGTCGTTGATTATGAAAATGTTCCAGTAATTGACATGGGCTGTGGAGATAGAAACCTTTTAGTTCATCAATTTGGTATTTAAGAAGTATACAAAATTGGAGGATTCTGACCAAGAGGATTACATAAGTTAGTGAGCACCTGTATTTCCATCTAATAGTTTCAACGTTCGAATCATATGGAAAGTCAGTGAAAACTTCAGCTCTAGAGCTGAAGTTCGCCAGTTACAAACAAAAACTTCAGCTCTAGAGCTGAAGTTCGACAGTTACAAAACAAAAACTTACCAGTTACAAAAACAAAAAACATCAACTCTAGAGCTGAAGTTCGCCAGTTACAAACAAAAATTTCAGCTCCAGAGCTAAAGTTCGCCAGTTACAAACAAAAACTTCAGCTCCAGAGCTGAAGTTCGCCAGTTACAAACAAAAACTTCAACTCCAGAGCTGAAGTTCGCCAGTTACAAACAAAAACTTCAGCTATAGAGCTGAAGTTCACCAATTACAAACAAAAACTTCAGCTATAGAGCTGAAGTTCGCCAGTTACAAAACAAAAACTTTAGCTCTAGAGCTGAAGTTCACCAGTTACAAAAACAAAAACTTCAGCTCTAGAGTTGAAGTTCGCCAGTTACAAAACAAAAACTTCAGCTCTAGAGCTGAAGTTCACCAGTTACAAAAATAAAAACTTCAACTCCGAAAGCTGAAGTTCACCAGTTACAAAACGGCTCGCAGTATATTTTGACATCGTGGGAACGTGCAATCACAGGTATAATCAATCATGAAAAAGATGAAGATTCTCTTTCTAGTGAATTCTTCCATGCATGTTCGCTATAAAGAGGTAATGGCAAAGACTTTTTAAGATCATCCTTCTGTAGTGCTAGAAGAAAAGAAAAATTTGAAAGTGAATTTATTGGTGATGAAATCAACTTTTTC